TGGTGCTGATCTATGAGTCTGAGCAGGGGTGACATTAACATCCTTTGGTTATTCTTTGAGAAAATGTTAAGGAACCCTATAAAAAGGTCATGTTCCTCTTCCAGCACCCCCTCCATTGTCTTTGCTTGCAGTACTCGTAAGTTTTCCGTAAAGAGGCTCTCATAAAACCTCTTGCACTTATCACCAAAGTGGTAGACTGTGGTCGTAGCTAGAATCTTGAAACTGATATTTGCATTCATCTCTAAGGTTGTGGCAGCATAGTGCTCTTTGTCGATTGGAGTCTCCTATGGTGCAACAAGTGGAGCAGGCTGGGCCCATAGGATAACTTGAACTAAGTTATAACAAAATAGAGTTTATAGAAGAATTATCAGTAAGAGTCCTACAACTACATATACCCAAAACTTAGAATAAATCAGTAAGAATCCTGCAACAAAATAGAGTTGACAGATTCATAAAATGTAATTTTTTTTTAATTGATACATTCTTAATTAATATTTGCGATCTTTGAAAATGAACTACAACTATTAAATTAATATTTTATTATTGAACCATATATATATATATATATATATATATATATATATATATAAATATTTACAGTGTTCAAAGATGAAGCTATTTACTCGGTTTTATAATATTTATTAATGTTTATATATGTGCAACAAAATTATCTAAAGTAAAAATGAGTTGTCTAGATCAAATTATTATATTTCTAAGATGGGTAAAATATACTATTTCTTATTGAACTTTACTCTCTCTCTTATTTTACTCACCGTACTTTTAAATTTTCTAATTTTCAACATTGAACTTTTGAATTGTTTCTGTGTTGTTCACTCTAAATTATTTTATTATTATTTTCGTATGACGTGATATTTTTATTATTATTTAATATAAAAATAATTTAAAACATAAAAAAAATTGATGGTGGTCGTTCGTTGGTTCGCCAGCGTTGGATGCCACCAGCAACAATTGTATATGGTAGTAGTTTCAGTCCCAAATTTCATAAGTCACTTCGCCTCGCCCTCTGAGTCCGAATCCAACCTTCATTTTGTCAGAATATGTGTCGAAGTCCACGAATTAGATATCAAAAGTGGGAAACCAAAATGTTTCCGTCGAGATTCACAGGTTTTGAGATATTTTCCGATAAAACATCCACCATATTTTTACTCATGGGACCGAGGCGAAGCAACCCATGAAATATGGGACCGAACAGTTACAACCTACGATGGCCGATGATGGCATCCAATGCCGGCAAACAGTGAACTACCATCGTTTGTTTTTATTATATTATTTTTATATTTTAATAATAATAATTCAAAAGTGAGCAAAACATGAACAATTTGAAAGTTCGGTGAGAAAATTGAAAAAATTGAAAGTACAATGAGTGAAATAGGAAAAAGCTCATTGAGGAATGGTGTAATTTACCCTTCTAAGATAAACTTTTTGTTATTTTTGTAACCCTAAATTTGATCCAAATATTATAATCAAACCTTAAATTATGCTAGTCACCGAAATGACCCATAAAATAATTACATATTTGGTTCTCAATATTTATACATTCTATCAATTTGATCATAATTTAATTCAATTAAAATAAATTTATTTTCTAATTAGATGATGACACATGTCACTACTTGATTATATGATATTTTCTTAATTTTTATTTATTTAATCGAATAAATTTTTTATCGAATGTCACCACCTTATTAAAGATAAAATAAAGAAACAACCTGCACTCAATAATTTAACCCATCCTGCCACCTTTGAAAAACAAAGCAACAAGACAAGAATTAAATCCACGGATAACAGCAACTAGTGGAAATGTATCAGATTGACCCATTCCATCACGCTAGCAACGCAAAATAACCCGCAGCACCAACATCTTCGCTCACTAATGCAAGCAGACGATCAATTTTGAATCTACAGCTAATCCTTGAAATATTTCCAGCCCCACAAACAGAGCAATCGGAACTAGAACACAAATCTGAAACAGTTTAAACCAAAACAGCGAGAATAACAGACCAACAGGCGGGCAACAGCCCAGCACGAGCCAAATCACCAACATTTACAGCAAGGAAGTCTAAGTCTACAATCCTCGATGCCAGAGCCCAACAAACGAACGCCTGCCTTACACTATACCATCGTTTCGAGCTATAAAAGAAACATTCAAACACTCCCGCAGGCCCCCATCATAATACTCACATCCTGCAAATAGAGACAGCATTCGGACATCGAACAAAATCTTGAATCGAAGGCAGACACAGTGGCCATTTACTTTTCATCCAGACCCCAATCCTAAGGGCAGCTAAAATAGGTTGTCAATAAGTAATGCAACAGAGTAAAAAATTAAAAATAGTTTATAAAATAAATTATAAAATATACTAATATTTATGTTATAAATATATTTATTAAGGGTTAGGATCTACTTACACAATGTAAAATTCTTTTAATATTACACAGATTTATGACCGTCTGACGAGTATTAAATTTTCATATTGAAATCTTTAGTTTTTAATTTTTCATAATGTATCATCATCTCGTTAGAAGAAACTAATTTAATAAAAATTTAGTAATATTAATTTAATAAAAATCATGTTGGATATATAGCAATACTACGTAAATAATTTGAACATGTGTCATGTCATCACTTTTCTCTTGGATTAATCTAGGATAAGTACAAGATAGTATATATTCAAATATAACTCTCAACCATTTGATATTAATCGCTCACCCCTCTGACATTCATAGTGCCCGAACCTGGGATCTAAAGGAATAACACTAATTCCTTTACCACTAAGGTCGCTTGGTTCGTTCGTGTCACGTTATCACTTATATACATATGATAATGTTATGCAAGTATTGTAGATACATAAGACTTTTCACATTAATGAAACATGATTTTTATTTATATACGCGTCATTTTAACTAAAAATGAAATGTTCAGAACTAAAGCGCTTCCAACAAAAGAATGAAAATGAAAATAATTATTAATTAAACATTAGTAGTTAAATGTCAAAATTCAATTAGTTATAAAAAAATACATTTTTTTTACTTTGTATATAATATACATGATCAGAATATAAATTTATATAGTTGCACTTATCCATATATGTATGTATTATTTATAATTATAATCAAACAACTTAATATTAGTAATGCCATTATATAAATAACATTAATATACAAATTTATTTACGAACAAACATATTAATATACATTTTAAGGCTTAAATACAAAAACCCTTATAGAATAAGTAAAAAAAAAAAAAACCAATTGAGTCCCTATTTAAAAACTTAATCAATTGAACCCTTCTTCTAAAGTTTTGAAAGTGTCAATTGTTTATTAAATAAATGTAATTATAATTTCAAATTAAATAAAAATTCAAAGGTCAATTAAAAATTTCATTTTAAATGGTCAATTTATGTACGAAACTTTCAAAGTTTTTATGAGAAGTGAGAACCTCTTTTGTATTTAGGAAACGAAATGGGTAAAAGGGTGTAAACCAGTAGAGTAGAGTTCGAGTATTGCTGAATTCGACTCGACTCAAACTCGAAATCCTGAACTGAAGCTCGTGAGCAGCTCGAAAAGGATGGAAATGAAAAAAAAAACTTAAACTTAACAAGATTAAATCCTCAAACTCAAACTCAAACCTGAACCTTAAATACATGAAAACCTTATTGTATTTTTTTAAAAAAATCAACACATAAATGTTAATATTATTAATAATTTATTTTAAAAAAATAAAATCTTAATATATTATATTTTTGAGTTGCTCACGAGCTTTTCGAGTCGAGTATCAAGTAGCTCGTTTCGGCTCGTTAAGAATTCAAGTCGAGCTCAAGTTCGAGTCGAGCTCGAGTTCGAGTCGAGCTCGAGTTCGAGTCGAGCTCGAGTTCGAGTCGAGTCCATTCGATCTTAGTATTTACCGAGCCTTGACCGAGTCGATCTCGAGTAGCTCACGATATGTCTCGTCTCATTTCCAACCCTAGATAAAGGTATATAATAGGAGGGCTAGAAAGATCATTTCACAATGTGAGAATCGTGTGAGCACTAGTTTATTGAATTTCATGACTTTTAAAATTTACAAAATGATCATCTCCTTACATGACATTATTTTGTTGAATCTCCAACTATTAAAAGTTACAAAATAATCATTCAATTATTTATATGTTTCAAATTCATCTTTTTCTACTAAGATATGATAAAATTATATTTTTAATGATTTCTACTAGTACCGTCATTACTTTCAAACATTGGATCGTCAATATAATATTTTAAACACTGACTCGACTACATGATATAAACATAGAACCAATCCAAAAATATTGGTTAAACGGTTTTAAGATCATATTTTATCATACCTCAATCGATATGTTAACATCCAACTAAGACTATCATCAATATTTTAATAAAAAAAGTATGAGTTTAAAACATATAAATAATTGAGTGATAATTTTATAACTTTCAATAAATAGAAAACTTAATAAAATAACGTCATATAATCAAAAAAATATTTTATAAATTTTAATAATTACGAGACATAACGAAGAAATATCTTATATAATCAGAGGTGATAATTTTTGTAATTTACCTCAAAATAATTGCGAGTGACGACGTGTGGGTACCTTACCCAACCAGACAGTGCCCTTATCGTAATTTCTATCAACTTCCAAGGGACATTTCTAAATGCCCGTCATTTTCAGTTTCCACTATGATGTCCGTGTTATTGCATAATTAACCGAAACTCCCGACAATAACAGTTTTCCGGTCCAATTTTTTGAATTATTGAGAGATTCTGCGATTTGGTATTTTCGGTGCCAAAAAGGAATTACTCCTCACTATTATTATGACTGCTATTTGTAGATTAAATTTCCAAATTTGAGCGTAAAAAGCAAAGTGCGAAATAGCGACCAAATTTTTCTAAGCCGGAATTGAAACGCTCGATTTTGAAGCTTAAAGAAGAGTAGGAATTAGGGTTTTTCGGTGTATGTGTGTCTGGGGAAAGATTCGAGACGAGAGAGAAAGAGAGGGGTTAGAGTTTTATAGAAGAAGAAGAAAGAATGGGTTTACAGAAAACGGATTCTTAATTTTCATTCATCGAGTTCATTTTTCTTCCATTACATTCTATATATTGCTAGATAGACCAATTATTTAGTTACAGCTGTAATATTCTTTCTAACAAAATAACTGTCTCTGTCCAGCTCAGTTTTGGCCCGTTTCATCCCTGCTTACTGACTTCCTTCAGCCCACTGGCACTCCTCAGCCCATGCCAATATCAGATAAAAATCAGGTAACAATTTCTAAATCCCCAATTCGTTCCTCATTTCCCCATTCTCTTCGTCAATCCCTAATTTATGATCCAAATTCCCTAATTTTCCTTCCAGGGCCATGACAATACCTCCTTCTACAGTCGATGCTTGTCCCCAAAGATCGAAGTCAGGAAATTGTGATTTCAACACTGTAAAGTCTTCCCAGGTAGCATTTTCTGGTCCCAAATTCGCCCATTGTATTAACTGTAACATCCTCAATACCGGGTTAGTGATCAAATTGTAAAGTTTCAGAATTTGATGACTAAAGTAGAAGGATGGAATAATTCAATGATTATTTGAATATATTATGAAGGTTATTTAGTAATTATTAAAGGAAATTAAGGTCTTTTCCTTTAAAAGATATTCTTCCCCCTTTTATAAGAGTGAAAAACGTAGGAAGAGAGCTATCTGGAAGCTTTCTTCTTCTTGCTTTCTCTTCTTTACGTGGAGCTTAGCTACAATAGGTAAGTTTAATTTCAGTTGGTTAATTCTTGAGTTTTAAGCTTAGTTTTGATTCTTTGGGTATTAAATAAGCTTAAGGAAAGCTTATATGGGATTTAAACAATAAGATAAAGGAATTAAGAAGGAATTTGTAATATGAATTTTAAGATGAAATTTTGATATGGTATGGTTGTTGAAGTTTTATGGATGAATTTGACTTGTCATCAATCTAATTAAGAAGTATGAAGTGTTAGAATTGGAATTAGAACACATTGAAAATTTGGTATGATTCTTGAATCTCATATGGAAGATAGGATTTTGAGGTTTAAGATGAAATAAATGAATATAGATTGGTTTAAGTATGTGTACTAGAGTTAAGAATGAAAAGGGGATGATATATGAAGTGTTTAAGAGGAAATGAAGTAAATTTCGAGTTAAAAATATGATTTCTGGGCAAGGGGAATCGGTACCCATTCAAGGGGAACCGATACCCCTTCAAACGAACAAAAATTTCCAGAATGTCATGAGGGAATCGATACCCCTTAGTAGGGAACCGATTCCCCCTAAAGGAAAAATGTGAATATTGGTTTAATAAGTTGCTAGTATCCAATTACAAGGTGTAGGTATCTAACGATTGCCTCAAAATGTACATTTATGTAGATTATGCGCGTAAAGCAATTCCGGAACATTTGGCAAGTAAGATCGATCAAGAGAAGATAAGAGATTGAAATTGACTAGTGAGGCCAAGGTGAGTGCATACTAGTGACATGTAGTTTAATGGAAATAAGACTTGCGATGAGTCTATTTTCTAGAGTAATATGCATGAAGTCATAGACATGATTATGTGGTTATAACTATATGTGATTATATGTATTACATTGATTGTATGTATGCATGACTAAAGATAATGATATGATTTGTATATGCTATATGATTTATGTAAGACTTTATTATGTAATAATGGAAGAACATGAGATAAGTTATATGATAGAGTCATAAGAAACGAAATGAACATGAGAGAATAAGATAATCAAGTATAAGTTATATGATATGGTATAAGTGATTATACGAGAAATGTTAGGAGACTCTAAGAGAATAGTATGAATTCGAAGGCATAAATAAGGATACATAAGTAATATAGGGAAGATTGATAGATTAAAGGAAACTATGATTTATGTATTATAGTGAAGAGCTACAAAGTTTTATTAAAGAGTATTGTGGAAGTCATGAGAAATTGAACTAAATAAATAGATGGTTAATGTGAATAAAAAGGGAAAATGATATAAAATAAGTTATGAAATTATAGGAATATAGAAGATAAGTCGAGAGATGTAGGGAAATAGAAATAGATGTTTATTAAGGGTCATAGGAGAACAAATATATGTAATATGATAATGAAATATAAGACTATGTGGATACATGGTTATGAGATAAAATATGTAATAATAGGAAAATATGATGAAAGTGAGTTTATAAGAAGTGATATGAACTAGGTAAACATGGGTAATAGTATATGCATAATGGAAACATGAGTTGGACAAGTACCTAGTGGTATGATTTATATTGGGAATTAGTATAATGGAGCTATATGAAAAGATTATAATGAATATATGAAATTGAATTAAGTAAAGAAATTAAATTAGTACCTAAATAAAAATACTATTAAATGATATAGTTTAGAAATACGGCATAATTTATAATCTAAGGGAATACAAAGAATAGAGCATAAGGTAGATAATATGATATCCGTTATTATATATCTATATATATGTCATCAGGTATATGAAAGGACTCTGAAATTGATATAAGCTAGGAGAAAGTGTTCTATGTGTTATATGAAGCATATATGATCATATGTGAACAAGATATGATATGTATGTTTATATGAATGATCTAAGCTATAGGATATGATATGTGTGATTATGTGCACTTTGTGATATATGTTATATGATATGGATCTATGTAACTACGTGAGAAAGTATATAAGCTATGTGACATGTAAATGTGACTCATATGAAAATGTTCTATGAGTAATTGAACTATGTGTTATGTGAAATGATAAGTATAAAAGAAAATGCCCATGTTATGTGTCTTGAGAGCTAGGGGTATAGTTGGCATGCCAAGAGTAGAGGGTCTACGCGGTCCTTCGGGACAATATTCTACGCGGTCCTTCGGGATATATATATATTCTTTGAAACATGTGTGAAGTCTGGTGAGACACATATATGATCCCTAGCATATGTATATGATTCTTAAGGAATTATATGTGGTCCTTATGGACATCATTATATGGCACTACGGTGCAATTCTACGCGGCACTTCGGTGCATTTATACGAGCTGTGGTGACAGCATAGTGCACAACCTCACAATACTCAGATACCTTAGGTTCTCAATATGATATCATGGGCCAATAAACTCATTGATACAAATTCATGAATGTTAAAGTAATATGCTTACAGGTATGGATATTGGTGATATGAGAACAATGTATGTGATATATGTATATGATTTGTAATATGATGTGTGCATGATATGATATATCTGTGATAGGGGTAATGGTATATGTTACATAGTATGCATGAATATATGTTGATGTATATGTAAATGAGTTGTATAATTTGATAGCATAAAACAGTCATGCATGATTAGTGGGTATGAATTCCATTAGATGTGTTTTCTTTATGCCTCACTAAGTCTTCGACTTAGCGTGTGATTGTTTCACACGTAGGTTTCGAGAAGAGTAAAGAGTAATGCGGAGCAAGACAGGTCAGTTCTCCTTACCAAATGTCAGATCAGAAAATATATGTCCTGTTTATAGAGTGTAGTTGGCATGTAGTCTAAAGATATAAATTGTATGAACTCTGATATATTTTGTAAACGTTTTGAATAAGTTAAATGTTATCAAAGTTTTTAAATTACTCACTATTTTATACGAATAAATATTTGAAAAGTCAATGTGACACTTCGGACTCGTATCCGGGTCGGATACGGGTTGGGGGTGTTACATTTAATGGTACCAGAGCTAAGGTTTAGCCGATTCTCGGCATAAACCGAAGTCCAAAGTGTCATAAAATGTGTACATGCCAACATAAAGTGAAAAAAAAAATCTGATCTGATTGTGTAAGGAGTATGTTGTCTTGCTAATAGAATAAGAACAGTTTAATACAGTAGAAATCCGATCGTGATAATTTCGAAGTAAGTGAAAGGTGATATTCCTGATTGTGATAGCTATTCACCTGCCCTGGCCAGGCAGGATGAAGAGCGGACACCTCAGGAAATGCCTAGTAAGATCAAAAGTTGATTTCAGAAAGCTGAAATCATATCTGAATAATGATAGAAAGTTTTCATCGTTTGGAATCGGAAACACGATATAGAGTAGTTTTGTTATTATGTGGATAAGATAGAATATGGTGAACATGTGTCACCATAAGAATGTTAAAAAGATCTAATGACGTGATGAGTATGTATAGAAGAACTCAAGGATAAGTGCATCAGTGACAAGTGTATAAGATGTATACAGTCAGAGCTTATGAGTTTGAAACGAAGTGATAGTATAGCGCATAAACAAGAGCAAGTTTATGATAAGGGTTTGCAGTGGAGATGGAAAGAGTTAGCATTGGCTAACTAGAGTATGTGATAAAAATATACTGGAATTATAAGATTATAAGATATTGTCAGGATATGATAACCAGATCTGCAATGGATCTGGATATAGTTGCATATTTGGATCATAGTAATGTGGTATAGTAAAGGAAAAGGAAGTAAGAATTTGTATATTTAAGTAAAGCTGAGGATTGATAAGAAGAGTTTGAGAATGTGTATATCGATGATCAGATTATAGGACACAGGAAGTCAGAATGTTGAGTTTGAGCAAAAGAAATTTCAGGATGTATGAGAATAGAGGTGAAATTGATAAGTTGAGTAAGCGAATGTTGAGATAATTTAGATTGGAAAGGATGTATATGATTGGTATAATAGGGCTTGTGCCCTAGATTGAACAAAAGTTATTATCTAGCTGTTAGAGTAAAGGTGCTAGAGTTATAAGATTGGAGGAAAGATAAAGTGGAGTTAATTGATTATGATGTGAATTTGAATATAGTTGTATATTCTGAGCAGATAGCTATGATGTAGAAACTGAGATAAGTATTTGCATGGAACCTTCAGGAAGGAAAATACAAGTATAAGAAATGATAAAGAATGAAGTTATGTATAAGAAATAGGTTATTAGAGTAATGAGGATGCAATGAAGATTGGTACATAAAGATGAGTATAAGTGATAAGACAAGAG